TACAAATACCTACATTACTCTAAGTAGAACACAGCTATAACATAACAAATACCTACATTACTCTAAGTAAACAGCTATAACCTAACAAATACCTTCAATACTCTGCGTACACAACTATAACCTAACCAATACCTACATTAATCTGGTAACACAGCTATAACCTAACCAATACCTACATTACATTGGTAACACAGCTATAACCTAACTAATACCTACATTAGTCTGGTTACACAACTATAACCTAACCAATACCTACATTAATCTGGTAACACAGCTATAACCTAACCAATACCTACATTACATTGGTAACACAGCTATAACCTAACTAATACCTACATTAGTCTGGTTACACAACTATAACCTAACCAATACCTACATTACCCTGGTAACATAGCTATAACCTAAACAATACCTACATTACTCTGGTAACACAGTTTTAACCTAACCAATACCTACAATACTCTGGGTACACAGCTATAACCTAACCAATACCTACATTACTCTGGTAACACAGCTATAGCCTAACCAATACCTACAATACTCTAAGTAAACAGCTATAACCTAACAAATACCTACATTACTCTAAATAGTACACAGCTATGACCTAACCAATACCTACATTAATCTGGTTACACAGCTATAACCTACCCAATACCTACCTTACTCAGGTTACACAGCTAGAACCTAACCAATACCTACATTACTCAGGTTACACAGCTATAACCTAACCTATACACACTGTACTCTAGGTACACAGCTATAACCTAAGCAATACCTATATTACTCTGGTTACACAGCGAAAACCTAACCAATACTTACATTACTCTAGGTACACAGCTATAACCTAATAAATACTTACATTACTCTAGGTACACATCTATAACCTAACAAATACTTAAATTACTCTGTGTACAGAACTATAACCTAACCAATACCTACATTACTCTGGGTACACAACTATTACCTAACCAATACCTACATTAATCTGGTAACACAGCTATAACCTACCCAATACCTACATTACTCTGGGTACACAGCTATAACCTAACAAATACTTACATTACTCTGTGTACAGAACTATAACCTAACCAATACCTACATTACTCTGGTTATACAGCTATAACCTTACCAATACCTACATTACTCTGGGTATACAGCTGAAACCTTACCAATACCTACATTACTCTGGGTACACAGCTATAACCTTACCAATACCTACATTACACTAGGTACAGAGCTATAACCTAAGCAATACCTACATTACTCTAGGTACACATCTATAACCTAACAAATACCTACATTACACTGGGTACACAGCTATAAACTAACCAATACCTACATTAATCTGTTAACACAGCTATAACCTAACCAATACCTACATTACTCTGGTTACACAGCTATAACCTAACCAATACCTACATTACACTGGGTACACANCTAACCAATACCTTCATTACACTGTGTACACAGCTATAACTTAACCAATACCTACATTACTCTGGTTACACAGCTATAACCTGACCAATACCTACATTAATCTGTTAACACTGCTATAACCTAACCAATACCTACATTAATCTGTTAACACTGCTATAACCTAACCAATACCTACATTACTCTGGGTACACAGCTATAACCTAACCAATACCTTCATTACACTGTTTACACAGCTATAACTTAACCAATACCTACATTACTCTGGTTACACAGCTATAACCTAACCAATACCTACATGACTCTGGTTACACAAGTATAACCTAACCAATACCTACATTACTCTTGGTACATAGCTATAACCTAACCAATACCTACATTAATCTGTTAACACAGCTATAACCTAACCAATAACTACATTAATCTGGTAACACAGCTATAGCCTAACCAATACCTACATTAATCTGATAACACAGCTATAACCTAATCGATACCTACATTAATCTGGTAACACAGCTATAACCTAACCAATACCTACATTAATCTGGTAACACATCTATAAATTAACAAATACCTACATTACCCTGGGTACACAGCTATAACCTAACCAATACCTACATTACACTGTGTACACACCTATAACTTAACCAATACCTACAATACTCTTGTTACACAGCTGTAACCCACAGCTATAACCTAACCAATACCTACAATACTCTTGTAACACAGCTATAACCTAACCAATACCTTCATTACACTGTGTACACAGCTATAACTTAACCAATACCTACAATACGCTTGTTACACAGCTATAACCTAACCAATACCTACATTAATCTGGTAACACAGCTATAACCTAACCAATACCTACAATACTCTTGTTACACAGCTGTAACCTAACCAATACCTACATTACTCTGGTAACACAGCTATAACCTAAACAATACCTACATTACACTGGGTACATTTTACCATTAGTTACATTACCCGAGTTACACATGTATCACCCAACCAATGACTACGTTCCTCAGGTGTGCAGCTGTAACACACTTGGTTACAATCTAACTTGTACCTGCACTAATCCAGTTTAAAAGGCGAATTTGTTTAAAGCTTGAGGCCCCGCAAGGGTCGCTTTAAAATGTCAACTTGATGTCATAACACAATAGCAAAGCGTTCCAACCTCATTCTGCCAACGCGCTAACAAAAGGATCAAATATCATTACTTTTCCGCATGACGAGTACCAGGAAGAAAACACCCAAGCTCCAGAGCGGTCCCGTATTGAATGTTTCCTTACACTCAAGTTCCCTCAACATTTCACCTATTACAAAACAACTAGAATTGCTTTTGATGAAAGACGTCAAACAACATGATTGTAACACGATTGGACGGGTGGTTTTGTATAGAATCACGTTAACACATTACATAGAGGGGTACTTAATTACATAAAAGTACCCCCCCCCCCCCTCTAAACTTCACTTTATCAATATTATTTTAATTTTGTTTTCTCTTTATTATGTTTATTTTGCAAAGCGACTGTACACAGATTTAAAGTGACAAGAGGATAGGTTGTAAATGTGTTTACGTACATGTAAATTAATAACTGACTAAATCAATCTAACAATGCTTTTTTCCCAAACTGTGTATGTGGAATAGAGGTAGCCACAACATCTGCGGCAGTTTACCTTGCGTAGGTACGTTCTATTTGAGGAATAGTTTGTGAACAGAGATGCTTTTTGCTGGGCAATTGGTGTCCGTTTCTCACGTCATATTGTGTTCCGGAGTCTACTAATTGATTCCTGCATATCTCGTCTTTGCGGAAATCCCACCTCTGTAGACAAACTCAATCATTAGTATACATAGATATCACAGTCACAATGATTTATGGATGGACGTGTGTATAACGATCGATCATCAACTGTTGATAAATCGCAATATATAAAGAATGTCGTGTTGATTGAAGTCTTGTTAGCTTAACCTACAAAAAATGTACAGCTGTCATCATTTTGATTTTTTTTTTAAAGATGTGAACCTTTCGTCCCTTATAGGAACTGGACAATAACTATTAACAAGGAAAGATATTTTACCCAATACCCATAAGAACATAAAATGGTAAGTGTTGTCCTAAATATAAATTATGTGAATAATGTAATCTTCGAGACAACTCTTTCTCAAAAATACCTATAAACGTACGCTATTATTTAAATTGTCATACAGTTTATCAAGTTATGTTGATTGAACGACAGCACGTGTGTTCTTTAAATTTAATATCACTGTAATGACATGAGATGCTGTTGATTTTGTTAGGTTTGTAGTGCTTTTTGTCGACCTATGTATACCCAACAACAAAGTATGATAATTCAATTTCATCATGTTGCAACTGTTCATTACGTATTTAATACGATATCTATAGCCATTGAAATCCAAACTGATTTCATAATTCATAAATGTGTTTTTTTAAACTATTGTTCTGGTGAAGTCTAATACAAGATATTTGACAATTGACTCGTGGCTTACACACACATCCGGGTAAGATCCGTCGTAATTACAATGGGTAACAGCAAATGACATGTTGATATAACTAATACATACACGTGACTGTTGTTTTGTTCCATTGCATTTAGGACTGAAAAAAATATTGTTCTACACAACGCATAATAGCAATACACCCTAGTTATACAAAGATTCACTTAATAATATCGATTAAACTAGAGAGATTCATCATTAACTGGTTGAGACATCTCGACCTCATGACCTGTCAATTCATGCTAACAATTCAAAACATGACATTGATTTAGGTGTATATACTTGATTAGATAAGCAGGTGTTATATTTCACGAAAAGTGTGCATACAACAAATATTGTAAAGTTTTAAGAATATCAGATAATAAAAACCAAAATTAATAGACTGAATTTTGAATCTAGACCAAACGTTAAAAACCAGGCCATCATCAGTAGTAAACAAGGCATAAGAGACTGACCCAGCTTAATGACTAATGTATCAGGCTGAGATATTAATCCAAACAGAAAGGCCATGCTTACATAGTGTAAATGTGCATGTATTCTGTACAAGTCAACCGTGACACATTATAAGGTGGTTTAAACAAACGCGCAAATACAACATCGATTTGTAAACTTACCGGGCGGGAGTAAACCTTCTTGCTAGGTATAATCAAGACGATCAAAATCACAACGACTACCACAGTTATGATGGCATACAGATACGCTTGTTTACTATTCCGCCGCATCGTTCTCGGAAACCTATAAAATATAACAGACGTCTGGGCATATAGAGTGGTATACGTTCTATATATGATGGTGTATATATCTGCGCACAGGCAGATTAATCCTGTGGAGTAGTTGTAAATACATCATTACATGTGTGTAGGCTCCAACTACAGAATTCATACGTTTAACTCAGGATATATATTTTGTAAACAACTTTAAATTTCGTGACAGAAATTGTAAAATGAAAAATAAGCCCAAATACTGCAAAACAAGATAACATATTGATTTTACAGGCCTCAATGCAATCCTTCACTGTAATACTATATAAATCCAAATGATAACAAGCGGAGGCCGCTTATCTCTCGGCGCAATATATATTTAAAGATTACTGCATGTGTCTTTGCTCAGTATGTCTTAGTCCGCAGCCGTTTTACACTACACACGTGTATGTATAACTTTCTTTCAAAAAAATAATCCCGATTTATTGCACCATTCCTCGATTCACCAAGTCACATCCTACTCACTTTGGTTCAAAACAAGATAAATGTAGTAATTTGAATGGGAGCCTTCGATACCATCACGACGTACGTTGTGACCGGTATCATATGAATATATGTTATTGCCTGGGGTCTTCACAGCATTTAGCAGAGCAAGGTAGGTATTTGATCCTCATTGCCTTTATATAGATGATGGCAGTTTCGTTCACCATACTATATCATGAACATGCATGGTTACGTACAGTTATTGCCTGGGGTTATATTGAATAGTTGGTACAATGTTAACTTAGTGGTACGAGCCTGGACTGTCAAGTATCTTTGTACTTTTTACAGAAAAACACTTGATATCCCCAGGTTTATTGCTGTCCTTTTTTTTGAAGGATTGCAACCTGTTGTTCTTCAGTGAGTCAAAATTCCAAGATTCTATTCGTATTACATAAGACAATTTCATTACGCGGATACATCATAGGAAATGTGACGACATGAAAAGTCCTGCGTCAGTTTACCATTGCGTACTCCATGAAACAAAAATAGATTTTAAAAATATAAACGTTATTGTTGTATCGCTATTCCTACAGTACGAAGGCCCACGGCAGTCGTCACGAAAACTGCTTTAGTAATAAAGAGTTGCCCATATTTAGTAGGTACTCGTCACGGAAACTGCTCTAGTGATAAGGAGTTGCCCATATTTAGTAGGTAAACGTCACGGAAACTGCTCTAGTAATAAGGCGTTGCACATACTTAGTAGGTACCCGTCACGGAAACTGCTCTAGTAATAAGGAGTTGCCCATACTTAGTGGGTACCCGTCACGGAAACTGCTCTAGTAATAAGGAGCTGCCCATATTTAGAAGGTGAACGTCACGGAAACTGCTCTAGCAATCATATAAGGAGTTGCCTATATTTAAAAGGTAAACGTTACGGAAACTGCTCTAGTAATAAGGAGTTGCCCATACTTAGTGGGTACCCGTCACGGAAACTGCTCTAGTAATAAGGAGCTGCCCATATTTAGTAGGGACACGTCACGGAAACTGCTCTAGGAATAAGGAGTTGCCCATACTTAGTAGGAACCCGTCACGGAAACTGCTCTAGTAATAAGGAGTTGCCCATATATAGTAGGTAAACGTCACGGAAACTGCTCTAGTAATAAGGCGTTGCACATACTTAGTAGGTACCCGTCACGGAAACTGCTCTAGTAATAAGGAGTTGCCCATACTTAGTAGGTACTCGTCACGGAAACTGCTCTAGTGATAAGGAGTTGCCCATATTTAGTAGGTAAACGTCACGGAAACTGCTCTAGGAATAAGGAGTTGCCCATATTTAGTAGGTACACGTCACGGAAACTGCTCTAGTAATAAGGAGTTGCCCATATTTAGCAGGTACTCGTCACGGAAACTGCTCTAGTAATAAGAAGTTGCCCATATTTAGTAGGTACTCGTCACGGAAACTGCTCTAGTGATAAGGAGTTGCCCATATTTAGTAGGTAAACGTCACGGAAACTGCTCTAGGAATAAGGAGTTGCCCATACTTAGTAGGAACCCGTCACGGAAACTGCTCTAGTAATAAGGAGCTGCCCATATTTAGTAGGGACACGTCACGGAAACTGCTCTAGTAATAAGGAGTTGCCCATACTTAGTGGGTACCCGTCACGGAAACTGCTCTAGTAATAAGGAGTTGCCCATACTTAGTGGGTACCCGTCACGGAAACTGCTCTAGTAATAAGGAGTTGCCCATACTTAGTGGGTACCCGTCACGGAAACTGCTCTAGTAATAAGGAGTTGCCCATATTTAGCAGGTACTCGTCACGGAAACTGCTCTAGTAATAAGGAGTTGCCCATATTTAGTAGGTACCCGTCACGGAAACTGCTCTAGTAATAAGGAGCTGCCCATATTTAGAAGGTAAACGTCACGGAAACTGCTCTAGCAATCATATAAGGAGTTGCCTATATTTAAAAGGTAAACGTCACGGAAACT